ACGAAGCGAAGCGTTCGCATCGACTTAGCCACAGAGCCGACTGTTAGGAGAACATGAAACATATATAACTAGAATGTCTTTACACTGGAACCCACAAAGGTATAGAAATAAAAGCAGAACAAATAACAAACTGAGTAGAGGGCTGGAGAGTAAAGTTATAAAGATAGGGAGAACAAATGGTAAGCTTTATGTATGCAATAGCCAAGGACAGGAAAACTTAGTGTGAGTTGGCTGAGGGACTATGCTTCACTGTTTGAGGGTCTATGCTCCACAGCTTGAGGGTCTATGCTCCACAGCTTGAGGGCCTATGCTCCACAGCTTGAGGGCCTATGCTCCACAGCTTGAGGGCCTATGCTCCACAGCTTGAGGGCCTATGCTCCACAGCTTGAGGGCCTATGCTCCACAGCTTGAGGGCCTATGCTCCACAGCTTGAGGGTCTATGCTCCACAGCTTGAGGGTCTATGCTCCACAGCTTGAGGGTCTATGCTCCACAGCTTGAGGGTCTATGCTCCACAGCTTGAGGGTCTATGCCCCACAGCTTGAGGGACTATGCTCCACAGCTTGAGGGTCTATGCTCCACAGCTTGAGGGTCTATGCTCCACTGTTTGAGGGTCTATGCTCCACAGTTTGAGGGTCTATGCTCCACAGCTTGAGGGCCTATGCTCCACAGCTTGAGGGCCTATGCTCCACAGCTTGAGGGCCTATGCTATATTGGTTAAGGGCCTATGCCCCATTGGTTGAAGGCCTATGCTCCACTGATTGAGGGCCTATGCTCCACTGATTGAGGGCCTATGCTCCATTGGTCAAGGGCGTATGCTCCACTGTTTGTGGGCCTATGCTTCATTGGGAGACTGAGGGCAGAAGAACAAGAAGAAAAAGAAGAAGAAGAAAAAGAAGAAGGATAGAAAGAAAAAGGAAAGGAGGAAGAAGTATCTTACCTGATCCAGGCCCACACTTGTCTTCATCGTTCGGCATATCTGGGTAATTTTCCAAGATGGAGGAATTTAATATATTCACCGACTGGCTGCTAGGCAACACATGATCACATGGCTGATCTATAACTTCAGTACTGTCTGACATTTTCTCGTCACCGTCTGTGGCACTGGCAATTTCCTCACTAATGTCACTTACATTGGCTGCCACTTTCAACTTGGGTTCTCCGTTGACTACAACAAACTCGTCACTGGTAGAGGAGGTGACTGAGTCACGACTTACAGCATCATCCATGGTGACCTTTGCATACTTGGAGGTCACCAAAACTTAAGAAGCTGTCATCTGCAAATTTAAAAAGGAGATGTAAACATTCAAACAATTAAATTATTAACTCTTTCAGTAAATAAAGTAAAGGACCCTTTTAAGCTAGCTGTGCATTCAACATATGGCTCTACTGGCAAATCCGGACGAAGAATAAACAGCCGTGGACGACTTAGTCAGAGTTCTCTCCCTTGGCCGCACTCCAAACAGTGATCGGAAAAGCCACAACGAAACAAACGACACACTTAGCTATCATCCTGCGGTTGCGTGTAGGGCTGCGTACGGTTGCGTGAGGCATCGTGGCATCATCATATGGTTGCGGGCAGGGTTGCGTACGGTTGCGTGAGGCATTGTGAATGGTTGTGTAGTCATCATCATGCGGTTGTTGGATTAGAGTTAGGGGTAGGGTTAGGGGTAGGGTTAGGGGTAGGGTTAGGGTTAGGGGTAGGGTTAGGGGTAGGGTAAGGGTTAGATGTGAAAATTTTGACGTAGGATTTCGAAATACTGGCCGACAATATGATGTTTGTGGGAGTGGCGCCACTGAAACTCTGCCAAATATGACGCCAATAGCGTGCGGCTGGTGCCCCCAATCGTTGGCGAATTGTGCGTTTGATCAGCATCCAGAGGCCCTCGATTGTTTGTGTGTGTGTGTTTATGGGACTGTGCGCGATTATAGGGAACTCTGGCGTCAAAATTGTCAAATCTAACGCTAAACCTAACCCTACCGCTAACCCTAATCCTAATCCTACTCCCTAACCCTAACCCCTACCCCCTAACCACGCAAATTTATCGATCATTAAAGCATACAATTCGGCAAACACCAACAAACAAAACACACCCAACCCAAAAAACACCAAGAATTGTCCTGCAACATCGGAAAAAAAAACCAGATCTGGGGGAAACAACCAAGCATTGGCAGCCCTGATGTTGACGTGACTTTCTTCTTTGTTTCGTTGTGGCTTTTCCGATCACTGTTTGGAGTGCGGCCACGGGAGAGAACTCTAAGTCGTCCAAGGCTGTTTATTCTTCGTCCGGATTTGCCAGTAGAGCCCAACATATGATGTGACTCTTTTAGTACCAGCTTGTAGTTAACTCCCTCTATTCTAAAAAGTCGACATCTGTGGCTGAGGCGGTGTAAACGTGCCACGTAATTTAAAGGTACTAATTTGATTCCAGCCACAGTTGATTTAGCAGTTGACTGCTTTGTGTTGATATTACTGAAAGCTGACAGTTGATTAAGCAATGG